ATCAACGGTAAGGAGATGGCCAGATGTATGGCCAGATAATATCTTCAAGAAAGGAAGAAATCGCATTTTTAAGAGAACGCGCTTCTCATAGTAAATGAACCAAGACCATTTCAATAAACCCTGCCCAATAGCTTTAAAGGGGCCAAGAATGCGAGGCACATTTATTTGGGCTCAACAAATACCATATTCATGGTCGAACAAAACATAACAAAAACATGCTTGAAAACCCTTTCCCAAGAAAACAAGTATCCTATGCTGCGAAGGGCGGCTGAAAGACCCACACACTAGTAAAGATAATTTCGCAGATACTAAAGAAAAGCATAGGTCTTGAAATACAGACTAGTATCGAATCTGATATAAGATCCACAGAAATAAGAGAACTAAGGGTAAATCTTAGCCAAAAAAATTTCAATCAAAAGCAAAGTCATCCCGCTGAAGAAATTTCAATAGAAGATAAGTACTAATTTCCACCCAAAAGGAAATTGTTGTCAAAGGAAGAGGCCACATCCATACAAACTTAAATGTCATGACATATTGTAATTACGTGTGAAGTATTTATGATAGGTGAGAGGATAATAATTCACATCTCCTTACTTTGTAATGATGATTTAACAAATATCTTTATGTGAGAAATTGCATTATCGAAATAGAAAATCAACACAAGAGAAGTAGATTGTGTGCTTGATATGTAGTTACATGAATATATTAATGTGAAGCATTGAGATAACAAAATAAGTAAGACAATGCGATCCCAAAGAAGATGCCCAACCAAATCAATTCTACAATATAAGCAATGATATTTCAATAATAAATTGTCAAAATGGTATTTTCATACAAATTAAAATGAAATGTCGTAAATGCAACAAAAATGAGAAAAATGAGCTATCCTTCTATGTTTACAAAATGCTGGAGATTCCAAAAAGCACTATCGTCTTGGCCAAGCTGAATGTTACCCTCCAAGGGCACACTCGCTTTCAGAGAAAGGAGGATGAACCTTGATAGAAGCATCAATGACTCGTCCATAGCAACAGCTTCGCTAAGAGGAATAGAGGCGGGTTTGGTAGAAGTGGGTAGATCATTAGAATATCTGATAGCTGACAGAGCGTCTTCATCAAAAGAGATGTTTTTAGCATCCTCTCCGCGATCCTCCAAAAAACTCAAATCTAACTCTGGATGAAAATCCTTAACAATCTCAAGAACTTTGTTGCCCTCATCCTGTATGGACTTCTCCACAAGCTTCCACCTGTTAGCTTTTACTTCAGAAAGACAAGACTCCACGAGAGCTAGTTTCATTTTGGTATTCTCCAGTTGGTTAAGAAGTAAAGCCTTTTTAGTCCTTGCCCGATTCAGGTCTTTGGAGAGAGCAAACTACTCATTCTTGACAAACCGAAGCTCCTTTTTGAAGTATAGAAGCTCAGTATTGATTAAGGCAACATAAGCAATATAGCTTTCTTTGGCTTGCTCCAAATCTTTAGTGAGTTTAGTAACATGAGCCACTAAAAGAGCCTCTGTAATAGCCAAAGCCTCAGAACCTTTTCTCATCTCCTTCTAAACTCCTCACAGTTTCTTTTGGAGAGCTGCGCACCTTTTTTCTAAGGAGTCTGCCTTTTCTCCAATTTATCAGCTTGCAAGACGCAGACATCATACTCCATCTGCTAATCATGATGAAGGATAACAACTCGTGGTGGTGAACATTAATCAGATTCCCCCTTTGCTTGGGACTCATTTTCTCTGCAAATTTTCCCAAATGGAATTAAAATACAAGAAAGTAGATCTAGCTACCCTAGAAACAAGAGCAAGAATCAAGGATAAAGCTTTGAGGTCCAACTTCCCATTTTAACGGGCCTCAAATAAAGCTTTGGAATTTACAATATACTCAAATTCTTTTAGCATTTCTCTTCTCCTTTACAGGGTCCCTTGTCAAAATTGGAGATTGGGATACAGATATCTACGAATCTTCGGCCTCTTTAGGCACCGGGGGTTGCTTAAACACACCTTCACCTTCGCTTGAAGCTATACCCTTGTCTCACTGGGAACCCTCTGCATGTATAGGCATGAGTAGTCAATAATGTTATAATTTTTGGCACTTAGAGGTAGCGCTAAAGTTAATCTTCATCTCATGGTGAACTGAATGATAGTATAAGCTGCAAAAGTCAAAGAAACAATATGAATAAGCATCGAAAAAGAAAGACATTCCAACAAAAAATGAAATTAAGGTTTTCCATAGGCATTAAGATTAATAGTTGTTGTCAGAGGTATAATCCCTAGTAATCATGAATAAAGACAACTTTTTGTTCTTAATACACAATATATCCACACATTGAGATCCTGATGCATATAGATACAAATGGTCCAATGGGAGCAATGTGAGCCCCACTAGTGGGCTCGGGTTTGTCGTAGGAATATTTCTGCCCTCCTCTTTCGGATAAAGAATAAGAGTAGTCCCATAACTGTAGTATTAGGAACAAAAGATTAATAAAGAAAAGGGGATTGAAAATCCCATATTCAGCAGAGATTTAAAAAAGCTACGCAACCATAAGAGGAGGAGTTCGAAGCTATTTGGAGTGCAACAGACTTATAACCTCATTTCGTCCAGTAAATATTAACGATGTCCCCAAAATTGCTCGTGGTCTTTGAAACATGCTTATTAGGCTAACCCTTCAAACCCGAACGCATCAACGCATTCTTTAACCCTAAGTAGAGAACTGATACCCAATGTAACCCTAGAGGTTATAAGGGAGATTTTACAATAGATTCAACTTGAAAACTTTGAAATTTTTCAAAGAATACCATCAGCCCAGGCTCATCCCCAAGGCAAGAATGTCTGGAGTAAAGAGGATAACATTATACAAAAATAAGCTTAAGAAAATAAGAGGTGCGAAATAAATATAAGCATGAATCTAAACAGAGGAAATAGAAAATTGTAGAAAAGAGCAAATTTGTCAATATCAGAAATATAAATGCAAAACAAGATATGCTCGCAGGAAGTAGAAAAGACAATGATAAGAAGAATGATGTGTTCATAGGTTCAGACGAAAGGTTTGAATCGACGATTAAATCAACAAAAAGATCTAGATCACTCAAAAGCTTCTTGCAATCATGGTTGCCAAAGGCCAGCAAGCACCTAACTGAGTTTTAAAATTGAACGGGTGAGATCAAATGTAGGCCACATGCGCTTCAAATGCTTATAGGGCACTATCCTAGAAAATCATAAAAAGGATCCTATAGTATAAGCTAAAAACTTTCAGCAATCATAGCATATTTCCCAAAAATCGACCCTTGTCACGCACCGCCAAGAAAGGAAACTTGCTCGAACAAGGAATTAACAAGCCCTAAAGTTAATATAAATATTAAACCCAGACTTGGGGAACTATTTGTTAGACCTCACAAGAAAGTCCACGAATTTGACTAGCTGTCAGCGAAACGTAAAACAACACACGAGGAGAACAAAGAAACAGAAGACTCACACTACACCAAAAACCACTTTTGGCAACAGGTAGAAAACGTTGCCGTAGACTTATGGCAACGTTCAGGCGTCTGTTGTGGGATGAGACGTTGCCATAGAGCAATGAGTTTCGGCAACGTGCTCTTGCACGTTGTAGAAAACGTTGCCGTAGACTTATGGCAACGTTCAGGCGTCTGTTGTGGGATGAGACGTTGCCATAGAGCAATGAGTTTCGGCAACGTGCATTGCACGTTGCTGAAACCCAGTTTCGACAACGTGCAAGAGCACGTTGCCGAAACTTGGTTTCGGCAACATGCTCTTGCACGTTGCCAAAACTTGCAACGAAACCAAGTTTTAGCAACGTGCTCTTGCACGTTGCCGAAACTGGAGTTTGTCATAAATGTCATTTTTATCTTTCTGATCAATTATTTTATATTTTTTCTGCCAATTAAACCTGTGAATTAAAAACATATTTTTACTATCTACGCACAAGTACCTTAAGCCAACAAAAAATTAAAAGTGCTTCATTAAGCCAATAAACACGATCCGATATGCAATATTACTTCATCAAAACATAATAAATACTTCAATTCAAAAATATACACCATATAACAAAAAACTATGAAAAATGTCTAAAAGTTATGTAAACGATTCATAACCGAAGCTTCTAACGAGTCCCAGCCAAATCTTTTTACATAGACGAGATCCAAGACGATACAAGCTCAAAAGAAATTTTCGAACTCACTTCGGCTCCATGTAACTGCAAGAAAGAAAGAATATAACAACAAATTAATCAAAAAGAGCAAACAATTTAGAAACAATACAATGTCATTTAAAGTTTTTTAAGACACAACTATATTCATTCTTTTTACATAACCAGTCTATACTCATTCAACGTATATAACAGCAGATTTATGTCATTTAAAGAAAAAATTGAATCACACACTCAAGAATACAAGCGCATAATTAAAACTTGATTGATTTTTAAAAATAAGATCAATTTCTTTTTTAAGAGAAGCCATTGTGCACTCATTAGTAATGCCATGAACAAACTTCCACATTCAAGGTTGTAAACTTGTGTATGCACACATATATAGCCACTCTTGAAACATGTTTAATGACAAATACGTAAATAAAAAAAATGTAGAAATTTATAAAGTACCTTCGTCAAATAAGTCTAATGCAGCTCTTTGGCCAAGCAATAGTACTTCCTATGGCGTCACTAAGAACTCAAAATTCTTCCGTTGGTCTATATAAGGGCAAATGACTCATGTACACCTCGTCAACCCAAACCTTCCAACAATCTCGTCCTAGTGGCACGTGATTTACATTTGTACTTGGGTCTATTGATGCAACCTTCCCTTCGCCTACAATTTCCTCCTCAACCAAGTACCAGTGCAATAGTTGACACTTTCCATTTTCCACTGGTGCAATACCTCCCTCCATACCACTTCCTTGTTGAGACTACAAATTCGCATTAAAATAAAGTCTATTTTTAAAACTAGTATGATATAATCTGAATTTATATTGAAAAAATAATATACAATACAAAAACCTATGGAGTAAAAGCACGTGAACTCATATCCTCTACATTCTTATTTTGATTCTGCAAAATAATACAAAAAAATTAAACTTATTGAAATGTTAAGATATATTCAGTTCCGCTATCATATTCTATGTAATAGCAAAGTATAACCTGGGATAACTTCAGAAGTGCTTCAACCTTTTCTTCGAGTGCTTCCATCCTTACTGATTGAGTTTGTAATTTGTTCTCAAGGTCTCTCACTTTCTCACTGCTTTGTGTATTTCCATCTATTTTTGATGGTGTAACCCCAAGTCCAAGTCCCCTTACTCGTCCACGACGCTTGGGACCTAAAATTCGAGCAACAGCATCATCTCGAATAGAATTTTCAACGGGTGTATCAGAAATTGACTCGGCATAATCTTTTATCTTCATCTACACTTATGAAACTTAAATATTACACTAGATCTACACACACTCTCTGGTAATATATATAGACACACACACACACACACAATACACGTACCAAAGTTTCAGCAACCGCCTCATTTATTGGATTCCCATCCTTTCGAAGATGTCCATGAGTCCATACTGTCGTTCTCAATCCTGTTATATTTGGATTCTTTCTTTTCTACAATAACAATATTCAACTCAATCATAGACACGTATATGAAATCAATAAAGACACATATCAAAAATAAAGAAAGATAGTTCTTGTACCAAATCGTGAGCCATACGTGAATAACCCTTCCGACCCATAGTATGGAGAAGCTTCTGACTACTTCTCATTTTGCTGAACTTAGAACTTTTTTCCTATCAAGGAAAACAATATAAACCAACAATAATTGACTACAAAGTTCAAAGTTCATACGAAAATATAACTTACTTGAAAATCAGTGGAAAGAGTATCTTCTACAAACTTCTCCCATGCTTCTTCTGAGGTTATATTCTTCGGTCTAAGAAGGGCAATAGCACGTTTTCTATTCACGGCAGATGGTACTTGACGTTTGATATCTCTTCTCAATCTCGATTTGAATGTCCTCCAATATGTTCCCATACATTGAAATGCCATTTTTTGATGGCAGTCATTGACATTGAATCTTTGCTAAAATTATCACAAATATAAAAAATGGTCGATATATGATCGAAAATGGCAATCAAGCTTTGAAGGAAAAATGTATAACCAATAATAAAAAAGTATCATATTAAATAAATGTACCTGTATAAAATTCCAAAGTTCAATTTTTTTACTGTCATCCACTGAAGGCCAATTTTTAATAACAACTGGCACGTACTCCCGCACTATGGCTCCGGCTATGCTGACAAATTTATCAGAGTTATGGCCAACTACTTGCCCGAATTCATTGAATTCAAGCTCCATTTTCTAATAGTTATTTTCAGCAACCATTTTCAAATGAGTTGGACCTCTTTTCTTCTTTGTAGCATCTACACTTGTCGAAGTCATGTTTTGATCCCCAGTAATTGGAGTAGACATGGTATCTCTAGGTTCACAAGAAGGTCGTACTCTTTTATTTGTCTCCCGAATTGCAACAGCAATCGCAGTGCTTCGTCTTTTAGAACTCTTGGAAGCTTGCTTATTTGACTTAAACAATGCAACATGAAAACATAGCATAAAGTTAATTATTCTCGAAAGTCACCATCTTAAGAAGTGTATTGAAACATACTCACCTGAGCTTTATCCATCATGCGAATATTTAATAATATCACCTAGTTCCAAAAAGCCACTTGAGAAAGTACGAATCTGCAAACAATAAGAGAAAGAGAATGATATTCAAAGTTCTAGTACTTGTAATTTAAACAGTCATATGTATAACGACATTTACCAAACTAATCAATTTATATATCACATAATATGCCTTCAACATCTATCCTTGCAAAACTCTCATCCTCCTCATGAGTGTCTTCAATTTGTGTTACATCCAATGGAATAGTTGCCTCATAAGAAGTATCTTCTTCCATATGTAACGCGTGAAAGTCTCTTGGTGATGCTTGCAAAACAACATACCAATTAGATGTTTCATTCTCCCTAGAGTAAAAAACTTGTTTCGCCTGTGATGCCAAAATGAAAGCATCATTTTCAAAATGTCCGTGTCCCTCGTGAAGGTTAACCAAAGTGAATCTGGTCGATATATGTACTTCAACCTTATTGTGCAACGAGGTGGCAAACGTGTCAATATGTTTCTTATGCAACAAATTCTCATTTCGTCCAAGTCGTTTGTCAGAACTCCTGAGTTCACTCATATGCATCCTAAGTAAAAAACAATATATCAAGAAATCTCGAAGAACTTAAAATCCCAAAAAGTATATACTTCACAAAGATATTGTACGTATGGAGCCACTTCTACACTATTCAGCAATACATCGCGATGGGCAACTTTTAGCATCTCATTAGATAGTACAAGTGACTTCCCTTTGGAAATTGTACGACCTGCAACTAAGAAGTCACTCTCATACTCTTCATTGCGTGCAGGCTTAGAGCCTATTTCAGATACTTGTTTTATGTATTTGCTACAAAACATTGCATTTTCTTCAACAATATATCGTTCAGCTATGCACCCTTCAGGTCTTGCACGATTCATAACGTACCCTTTCAACACTTTCATATACCTACACATTTTCCAAAAAAGTAATAAAGTAGAAATCAATTTGATAGTGGATTTAATTTCTAAGGATAAGGAGTGCTACCTCTCAAATGGGTACATCCAACGATATTGAACTGGTCCACATAGACGAACTTCTCTTCCAATATGAATTGTTAAATGAACCATTATATCAAAAAAGGAAGGGGGAAAATACCTTTCCAACATGCACAAAGTTTCAGCAACATCCTCTTCTAAAATTTCAACCTTATTCCTATCTACGACTCCTTGACATATTTCATTGAAAAATGAACACAATTTAAAAATGGAGTTCCTTGGTCCTTTAGGTAAAAGTCCTCTCAGTGCAACTGATAGTAATTGTTGCATTAAAAGGTGACAATCATGAGACTTGAGTCCAACTATCTTACATTCTTCCACTGAAATGCAATTTCCAATATTAGAACCATAACCATCCAGTAATCTCAAGTTAGCAAGCCTTTTGCAAAATATTTATTTTTCTGTTTTTGATAAAGTGTGAGGAGCTGCAGGTAAGTAAACTTTATTTCCTCTACTCTCAGGATGTAGATCATGCCTAATGTTCATAGCTTCCAAGTCCTTACGACAGTTAATACCATCTTTCGATTTTCCTTTCACATTCAAAAGTGTACTAATAATGTTCTCACAAATATTCTTTTCCACGTGCATCACATCCAAATTATGCCGTATAAGTAAAGTCTGCAAATCAAACATCACTTGTTTCATGAGATACTAAACGCAGTTAGATGTATTAAAAAAGGAAATGATATAACTAGAGTTACCTTCCAATATGGTAGCCTGAAAAATATTGACTTTTTCTTCCACGTTACATTGGATTGAGTCATGTTCTTCTTTCTCTTTTGCTTACCACTTTTGCCCCAATTATTTGCAATTTGATCAACTTCATAGGAATCTTCTTCAC